AGCTTCAAGTCGTGCAGACGTTTTCGGTGTTGAGATAGATGAAGATGAACGTGGAGTTTTTGCTTTGCGTTTTCTACTAACAGCTGAAGAAGATTTATCTGGATTTGCAGCAGGATCAATTTCATTTTCTAATTCTTGTGTCGATGAAAATGTTTGAGATGCATGAATCTGATGAAGTTCTTTTGAGTTTAAATTTAAGAAAGAATCTTCAGCATGAGATACTGGAGCTGATTTATTCTGAATTATTATTGATGAATTTGTTAGAGGAGCAAGAGCTTGTCGAGTAGTAGTTGAAGATTGATAAATATGATCTTCAACTGTAGCTGATGGTTGAGTGAAATCATCTTCACCAACTTCACTAATATTTTCTTCATCAATATTTCTTGATATTGTGACATTTAATTGAGATGAAGTATATCGATCAGATTGAGATTGTTCATTTGGTACATGTGCACTCTAATAATAGAAAAGGTAATGATTTTTTATATATTGAATAACAAAATAACAAAGATGTAGAAAATGAGATAATTCATTTGAAAAAAAGAACATCTCAAGTAAGATCTGGATTCTCATATTCTGTACTTAATGATAGTAAAAAATCATTTCATCAATCTTTTATAAGAAATATAATATTCCTTTCAATTTTCAAAGCAAAACAATATCTCAAAGATAATTTACAATTATTTTATATCTTTTTTTTGTATATATATACATGCATATATGAATTTATGTGATATAGAATATATACAATAACTTTTATCTATAAGAATATGTATAATATTTAAACTTCTAAGAGACATTCAAAAGTAAATATATATATGTATCTGAAACTAAGTCTATAGTGTGAGATAATTCTTTCTCAACAAAGAAATGCAAATTTTGATTTCTAATCACACATATAATACGACATTGCACTAATTTATAATTATCTTATATTTTTCCTTGTATATATATATGTATCAATTTATGTAATATAGAATATTTATATAAAATATTTACAAGAAATTATATCTATAAGAATATGTATAATAATAAAACTTCTTAGAGATGATCAAAAGCAAAGATATATTTATCTGAAATTAGGTTTCGGTAAAAGTTACTTTTTTGTCAACTAAGAAATGTCAACTTTAGTTTATATTCACATATATAATACGATGTTGTACTATGAATATTTTTTTCAATTTATAGAAACTAAATGAGTTTTTTTTCTATTAAGATAAATCAAAAAACTTACTTCATTAGAAATATCAGATGGTGAAGAGACATGTTCATTAGTGGTTGAAGGTTGAGTTAAACTTTCCACCAAATTTGTAACTACTACTTGTCGTCGTACAAAAGATCGATTTACAATCTTGTATTTCCAACTATTAAGCAAATTCTTGAGTGCTTTATTAAGATAATGTGTATCCTCGAAGAGAATACCATAAAGAAGACGAGAACAGCGGTTATGATGACCAAATTTTATTTCGAATACATAATACAACGACATTAAAAGTGCCAGTGCTTGAGAACAGGAACTAGTATGTGTTATGAGGTGAAAATCGAGATAAAGCTCGAATTTATCATCAAGAATTTTCATACATGGACCAGGTATAAGTACTTCCTATATATAAAGTTTAAAAAGAAAGTTTTTTTTATAATCAAAAGTTTAATTGATAGCTTACCTCATATGTAAAAATATTTACAACTGTATCACCAAAAAGTTTACATAGAATACGAATAATTCGAATAGGTAAAACATCTAAATTGAAAAATATTTAAATTTTAACTTGAATTAAAAAAATCCTTTTTCTTTAGACAAACTGCATCAGATAGAATCACTTGAGTTCTTCTATAGATTGCACTGCTTTTATTGAACTAATGCTTAACCCTTATGAAAACTGAGAAATTTTTTTTCAGATTTTTAATAAATAATTATGCTACAAAAAATCGTGAATTAAATGCTTCGAAACATGTAAAATAAGTTCATGCTAACTTATAAAAATTTATTTTTCTCAATTAGTGTAAATTTTTTTCAAAAGTTTACCTGCCAAAAAACAATTATTATCAGGTATATGATCGAAAAACTTTGGCAATAAAACATTAACATTTTCTTCAATATCAATACCAGTAGATTCTTTTACTTCAGCCAAAATCTAAAAAACAATTAGTAAAATTTAATGAAGTATTTAAATAATCTATGAAAAATAGTAGAAAGTTCGTTAGAAATATTAGTTTAACATTTAATCTTTGCTATTTTTTTATAAAAAAAAAGATTCATATATTGAAGTTACTCTGTTGCATTAAAAATATAATGTTTATAACTTTGAATCAAAATATCAATGTGTAGAAATAATATGTAAAAGTGGAATATTTTCTTTTTAAACATTAAGGAAAATAGTTGGCTTTAAATAGAAACTATAACAAGTATGTTATTGCATTAAAATAGAGCTTTATTAGACTTCACGAGATATTTTTAATGAAAAACCTTTTGTTATCGAAATAAACTGTTTTGATGTGAACTCAAAAGCAATATTTTTATTTTATTATAATATATCTCTTGCATCAGTATTTTGAAAAAAGATATTATCTAGACTTATTTTACTTGTACGATATAGACAAATAAATTTATGAACTAAAGTATCAGCTCCTTTTTGTAGCAAACTAATTCTTTACAGATCAATTTTTACAAAAAAAAGCCTTTATCAAAGTACAATCAATTATGTTTACCATTTCTGAACGACGATAACCGGGAAAACGTTCCAGTATTTCGACTATATCCAATTCACGAATACATAGACGTCGTATGTTGAAAGATTGTATCCAAAGATCACGAAGTAAATCATTATTAGGATCATCTTTAAGTAGTTCTGTATTCATTTGATTGACTATAGCTAATAAATGTTCATTTTGTCGATCAGCTAAATTAATCAATGGCTACAAGTAAATGATATAATATTTCATTCAAAATCATATGAAAACTTACTAAATCAAAAGTACGACGTTCAGCTTGTAGAATTAAACTTTTTTTTTTCGGTCTTCCATTTGTTTTACCATTGCCATATTTATCTTGTTTACTTTTAACTAGATCATTATTCATTTGTAAAGGTTTACGTTCACGTTTGAATTTTTGTTTTAATGATTCGTGCCAGTCTTTCTAAAATAAAAGCAAATATTTAATATATTTATGAGTTTTTTTTTCTTACAATTGAATTTTTAGCTAATGTTGGAGGAATGCGAAGTTTGTTTACTATCAGTTTTGCCATCCTTATATAATCATCATGACTTGGATAACTAGATAGAAATAAATAAATAAATATAAAAATTATTTTTTTAAATAAAAACTTACAGTAAATCGTACGACTTCGTCACATTATCATAGATTAACGATAACAGTTCACTTCTTAATCTAGTATGTGGATTAAATTTTGTTATATTTTCTTGTTCAATGTATTCTTCCATTCTGCTAGTCAAATTTGGTCCTTCATAATCATCTGGTAACATAGGTTTATT